CCTGGAAGGTTTTGGGCAGAGCGCCTAACAGCATGGTGAACTCTGGGGTGTTCAGCTCAAACAGGGCGATCAAAACCATCTGAGCCGCCTGAAAAACACACAAGCACTGTCATGAGACAAACATTTAATAATGCTGCAATTTTAGAAGCGGAAACCGTTTTCATTATAGTCATAACATGCTGAATTTATTCACTGCAAAATGTTTTTCATCAGTATTTTTGTCCTGTTTTCCAGTACAATCACTCTTAAAATCAAGAGACTGTCCATTTACTTGAGAAGCTAACTGACGAGATATTAAGATTTGTTTTCTGAAATATTTTTAAATATAAATATTTTTTTCTGAAATGTTTTCTGAAAAACATCTGCTGATGGGGTCAGAAATATTGGCCACATCATTAAATTCAGTTTTTATAAACTTTATACATAACCAACCAGGCACAATTTAAAAGAAGTGTCAAGCGGTCAATGTGTCAATTAAACATCAAATAATATGAGATTTTGTCACTTCACACAGTATTTTTTGCTTTGAAGTAGGGCTGCAACAACTAATCGATAAAATCGATAATAATCGATTATGAAAATCGTTGTCAACGAATGTCATTATCGATTAGTTGGTCTGCTTACGTCACGGGGAGGGTTTACTGGTGATTGGTTGAAACAGGCCAATCAGGATGCTCTCTGTCTTACACGCGCTTCATGAGGCACATCCGCACACACGCAAGGCCTTTCTCCCTCCGCCGCTCTGCCGCACGCGCGCGCTACACGGTTTGGAGCACAGTCTCTTCTGTCTCGCATGCGCGCTCAAATCCCGGGAGTTTGAACTAATTTGCGGGCATCAGGGAGCCGCATAAGCTGCTATCAATATGCGGGTGACTCCCAGAACTTCCGGGAGACTTGGGATGTCTGTATTTTGTCTCGAGCATCAGGTTGCGCAATCAGTTCGCTCGCAACATAAGTGATGGATTAAAATAGCGCTACCGCAGAAATAGGTTAAATTAAAACGGTCTTTACAAAGCAAAGCACTAAATATAAAGGCAGTTAATAACAGCAGCAGTAAAAGATTGTTTTAGTCACTGTACTCAGTGTTTTTCAGCGAATGCTTGTGCACTAATGCATCATTTTTCCTGTCTTTTTAATCAAGCCTGTTAACTTGCTGCGTACTTCCATTCCGTTCTCTATTTATAGCATTTGTCTATTAAGTTTTAATTGTTTTTCAAACGCGATCTACTGCAGCTCTGCGTTCACACGCTTGTTTTCAGTCTTTCTATATTTATTTTATCAATGTATCCTTATAATTCAATTAATTTTAAATAAAAATTAAATGAATTATATATTTTAGATGTTTTTAGTTTATATCTTCACATCTGAACAACATGTCTGTGTAAATTTGTTTTAACAAAAATTGTGTTAAAACAATATGTTGGATATGAATGTTTTTTTTTTTTTTACATTAATCATGGTTGTCAACTTGCCATCAGCAATTATCATTAAAAACAATGCAAATATTGATAATACTAAAACTCAATGTGTGGCTTTTGCACTTTTTAAATTACACTTTTACACATAAATATCCTAATTTAGGGTTTTAGGTAACACTTTATTTTACGGTGTCCTTGTTACATATGTTACATGTACTTACTGTAGTAATAACAGTAAATTATGCATAATTACATGCAACTAACCCTCAACCAAATCCTAATCATACCCTATTCCTATAGTAAGTACATGTAGTTCCTTAATATTACTCTGTACTTAAATATATAATTACACTGTAACAAGGACACCTTAAAATAAAGTGTAACCGGGTTTTATTTAGTCAATAAACAAAAAAATCAAATTGAAATTTTTTATCCGATTAATCGATTCATTGAAAAAATAATCGTCCGATTAATCGATTATCAAAATAATCGTTAGTTGCAGCCCTACTTTGAAGCAAGGACGGAAAAATGACTAGCGCTTGAAACTTAATATTTGAGTTTGATATGCATCCCAATGGACATTAGTGAGGGGTCGACGTCATTTTTAATCTGAAGTGAATACATGAAGGCTCAGAGATCACATTTCTTTTTTTTTCTAGTTTTTTGTTTTGTTTTTTTCTGCTGGAAATCTTCCGAAAAAAAAGTATTTTCAATGTTTCACCAGTTGAACAACAAACATAAAAGTTAACTGAATCAGTGCTATTTTAGTATTATTGATATACTATTATAGCTTTAATTTTTTATATTTTTTTTACATTTACATTTATAGTAATTTTATGTAATTTTTAAATAATGCTATTTAGGTTTGCTTTATTTTGTTTTTATTTCCAGTTAAATCTTTTTTTGTAATTTTGTTAATGTGATTTTTATTAGTTTTTGTTTTTTTAAATAATATTATTTAGATTTACTTTATTTTTATTTATTTCCAGTTTTTTTTTTGTAACGTTGTCATCTTTATTACAGTAGTTGTTTTAAAATATAATTTAGTTTATTTGTATTTATTTACGGTTAATTTATTTTAGTAATTTTGATGTAATTTTTATTTGACTTTGTTTTTCTTTTAAATAATACTATTTAGGTTTAATCCAGTTTAATTTTAAGTGATTTTGTTGTTTTATTTTTATTACTTAAAAAAAAAAAATACTATTTAGGTTTAAATAATTGTATTTATTTCAGTTTAATTTTAGGTTATTTTGTTATGTCATTTAAATAGTTAAAAAAAATACTATTTAGGTTTACTTTTCTTTTCAGTCTAATTTTTAATAATTTTATTTCATTTTTATTAGTTTTAGTTTTTCAATAATAATATTTAGGTTTATTTCTATATATTTCCAGTTAGCAATGTTCGCGCTTCAAACTATCAAAAATGTTTTTGCTATTTTTAATTGTAGTTGGCAATAATAATCCTGCCCTGAACGTACTGTACGTCTGTCCCTCACAGCCTCGTTTTCATTCATGGCATATACACTGCCTAAGGTCAAAGGTCATTTAGATAAAGGTGTTAGTGTTGCAGAAATGAAAATCTGGTTATCAGGCAGAAAATCTGGAAAGACGGTTATCAGCCGCTCACAGCGTCAAGCTGACATGCTTGAACATCACCAAACATCAGAGCAAAACCATCAGCTGAAATCCTGAACGTCATTGCAGAGAGCAGAAGTGTTAGACAAGCCCAAGAGAACACAATCAGACGGCCCGCGTGACCTGGAGAGCCAGTCAGGAGGTTAAAGGTCAAGGTTCAGGGGTCACTACCTGCTTACACCTCTCCTCCAGGTTACTTTCCCCCGGCAGGGACGCCACAGTCGAGCTCCTGCCTGACGCCTCCTCCATCGCCCAGCTATGAAGCGTCTGAGACACATCACAACTCACTTTGACAAACCAAACTTCAACTTGAGCTCGAGCAACGTCTCATCCGGACCCGAACCGTGAGATCCCACAGAAACAGAACACTGACCTTTCTGACGTCCGAGCTCTTCGGTTCTGTGGTCCACGTGATGATTCGAGAGACGGCTAATCGCGTCTCGCTGGAGTTCACGAAGTCTGACGGATCCATTTGTCTGGCCAAAGATTCGATGTACTTCAGGATGGCCACCTTCACCTGCTCACACACACACACACACACACACACACACACACACACACACACACACAGAGACACACAAATACACGCACACACATACACGCACACACACACACACACGCACACACACGTGTTTATTTCAGCTACTTGTCAAAGGTAACATTTCTCCTTTTAATTAAAATGATTGAAATAAAAATAAATAAAAACTATACAGGCAGTTAAAAAATAAACTAATAACAATGACAAAACACACAAAAAAAAAAACATTACCGTAACTAAAATTACAATGAAAATATAAAAATTTAAATAAAACATTGAAAATATTAAAATAAATAGTAATACAAAATAGGACCTAAATGATACTAAAACAACATTGTTTACAATAAGGTTCCATTTGTTTGCATTAGTTAACATCAACTAACAATGAAAAATACTATTAAAACATTTAACAATCTTAGCTAATGTTAATTTCAACATTTTTCTAATACATTATTAAAATCAAATGTATCAGCTAATATTATTTACTGGACCTGATCTAATATGAACTTACATAGAATCACCAATATGTTCTTTATTTACTACGTTAACTAGATTAATAAATACTGTAGCAAATGTATTGCACATTGTTAGTTAATGTGATATTTTTATGAAATAATATTATGAAAAAAAGCTTAATAATAATAAATTATTAATCATTTTCCATAATATTATTTAAATACAAATGTTATATTTTATTTCAAATTTTCTTTTAACATTATTTAAACATAAATTATTATTCAAATATTTTTGAATCCAAAATGTACAGGGTGGTTTGATGGGATATTAGAAGTTATGGTAACACTTTACAATAAGGTGTTATTTGTTAACATTAGAAAATGTATTAACTAACAATGAGCAATACATTTGTTACAGTATTTCTTAATCTTTGTTAACATTAGTTAATAAAATACCGCTGTTCATTATTTGTTCATGTTACTTCACAGTGCATTAACTAATATTAACAAATACAACTTTTGATTTTAATAATATATTAGTAAATGTTGAAATTAACATTAACTAAGATTACAGTAATACAGGTGAAACTCGAAAAATTTGAATATTGAGCAAAAGTTCATTTATTTCAGTAATTCAACTTAAAAGGTGAAACTAATATATTATATAGACTCATTACATGCAAAGTGAGATATTTCAAGCCTTTATTTGTGATAATTTTGAAGATTATGGCTTACAGCTTATGAAAACCCCAAAGTCAAAATTAGAATATTGTGAAAAGTTTTCATAAGCTGTAAGCCATAATCATCAACATTATAACAAATAAAGGCTTGAAATATCTCACTTTGCATGTAATGAGTCTATATAATAAAGTAGTTTCACCTTTTAAGTTGAATTACTGAAATAAATGAACTTTTGCACCATATATTCTAATTTTTCCAGTTTCACCTGTAAATGCTATAGAAGTGCAGTTCATTGTTAGTTCATGTTATCTAAAGTAGTTAACTAATGAACCTTATTGTAAAGTGTTACCGAAGTTATTTTTGGATGCTGGTTGTAAGCGTCGGTCAACATGACACAGCCATAATCACACAGAGCACAAACACAGCGAGGAAATGAGGAAATAAAGACCTGACCAACCTTGAGGTTCGGTGTCTGTGTCTGATCAACAATAAACCGCATCAGGATGTTGAACTGCTGATCGTACGGAAACGAATCCCTGTGAAAACCAAACACAAGAAACGGACGGAACGAAGAAAATAAACAAAAAACTCTAGAAATAGCATTTATACACACTATACAGGCCAGACCAGTGGTGTAGTCCAGCTTTTTGTAATGAATATACTGTGATATACCACTAAAAAGTACATCTAAGCAATTTATTTCATAATTTCTTCGGGTTACTTACTTTCTCTCTACAAACTTTTATTTTGGTGGGTTGTAATAAAGACATTTGAGTTTCTGTGTGTTTTAATAAACTATTATTATTAGGCCTACTTGAAGTATGCTCTACTGTGCAATAGTAATATATTTCTGTTATATTTTCTTCAAGTTACACAAAACTTTTATTTTGACAGGTTGTCATGGAAGACTTTAAAGTTTGTGAGTGTATATAATATGAATGAATGACGATAGTTTTATCAAATGAAATGATAAAACTCTTGTGAAGTGACTCTCATAAAAGTTGAATGAATGTGTATGAGAGCACACAGAACATGCAGAGTTTATTTCAATAGTAGTCTTTTTAAGCTTTAATATTCATAGACACTAATACATATCAAGATTAGATTCGAGGCGGTTCAGACCTGGTGACGTCGAGAGCTCGCTGAACTTTGGCCTGGACGGACCCCAGAAGATCGGCCCCCATTTTCTTCAGCAACTGCGTGAGCAAAATAAACAGCCAATCCTGAAGCTCCTCTCTGTGTAACATGATGAAGTCCACCAACGTCTCCAGGAACATGCTGAACACCTGATAAACACACACACACACACATTTATAAAATGGGTTTTTATGTTGTAGACACAGAATTCCGTCTGACATGTTTTAATTGTTGGTTCATGTCAGATGGACGTCTTGCATCCTCATCAACACAATCAGTGTGAACTAGGATAATTAAAGTTAACTAAAACTAAAACTTCAATCGTGATCGAAGTGTGATGTAATTTCGAACAAAATCGGCCAAAACAAAGTTCGTTTGGGGTTTGTTTAGGGAGATCGAAACAGCTTGAAACGTTTCTGAAAACGTTCGCTCCGCTACTAAACACCCATTGGTTCGTGGTGATGATGTAATAGGTAGGCTCCGCCCTCTTTGATGAGAAAATCTTCTACGGTTAATTTCCTCCGTTCTGCTTTAAAGGGTTAGTTCACCCAAAAATTAAAATGATGTCATTAATGACTCTCCCTCATGTCGCTCCAAGCCCGTCAGACCTCCGTTCATCTTCAGAACACAGTTTAAGATATTTTAGATTTAGTCCGAGAGCTTTCTGTCCCTCCATTGTAAATGTGTGTACGGTATACTGTCCTTGTCCAGAAAGGAAATAAAGACATCATCAAAGTAGTCCATGTGACATCAGTGGGTTAGTTAGAGTGTGTTGAAGCATCGAAAATACATTTTGGTCCAAAAATAACAAAAACTAGGACTTTATTCAGCATTGTATTGTGTTCCGGTTCTGTTGTGGATCCGCGTTCAGTGCCGCTGCTGACGTGTGTCTGGTGTGTGTGTGTGTGTGTGTGTGTGTGTGTGTGTGTGTGTATTCTGGTTCTGTTGTGGATCCGCGTTCAGTGCCGCTGACGTAAGACGCTGCTGACGTGTGTCTGGTGTGTGTGTGTGTGTGTGTGTGTGTGTGTGTGTGTGTGTGTGTGTGTGTTCCGGTTCTGTTGTGGATCCGCGTTCAGTGACGCCGCTGACGTAAGACGCTGCTGACGTGTGTCTGGTGTGTGTGTGTGTGTGTGTGTTCCGGTTCTGTTGTGGATCCGCACGTCACACGTCAGCAGCGGCACTGAACGCGGATCCACAACAGAACCGGAAGACAATACAATGCTGAATAAAGTCCTAGTTTTTGTTATTTTTGGACCAAAATGTATTTTCGATGCTTCAACACACTCTAACTAACCCACTGATGTCACATACTTGGTCCTCCATGAGTGCGACCAAAGGAGAAACCACAACGACCACAGGGTTTTCATTGCGTCCCATCTTCTCAGCGACCATCGGAGCCAGCTGATAAAATAAACTTTTGCCGAATCCCGTGGGAAGGACGGCAAACACATCTTTCCGATCGACAAATGCCTTGATTGCAGTTCTATGTTCGTCTATTAAAATGAATGCGCTGTCGATTTCTTTTACAACAGACGCGATAGCGGGATCTCTACATCTCAGTTCTCCAGCGGCGGCCATCTCTGAGGGAAACCAGTTCAACCCAAGCGCTCTTTGATGACGTGATGATTACGTAATAACGTAACTGCAGATCATCTGTCCATCATCGTATAAAGCCCGCCCTGGCAATTTGATTGGCCCGACTAATTCTGAACCGATCATAATTACTCCTCAATGGATCGAGTCCAGACCGAACTTCCCGACCAAAAAATATTGTGGGCGGGGTTCGGGCTGGCATCCAGGCCAATTTTTGGGTGAACTAACCCTTTAAAGTAGAAATTGAAGTGTAATTCTAATTGAGAGCAACACAGACACTGTTTTTTCACATGTAATACTGTAATCTATTGTATGAAGTGCTTTATGAATAAACGTGACTTTAATAGACTGGAGTGCCGAATCTCAGAGCTGGTTCAAACACATCCACATCGCTATGATCTGATGCTTCTAGTAATGGCAGTTTTGTTGTGTTTATGTTGTTATTGAGAGGAGAGAGCAGCACATGTTTACATATTCATCTAACCGTCGCTCTCAGCGTCGTGGACAGATGTTCGTTAAGTGAAGGACGAAAAGAACTTCACTGCGAGTATATCCGGGTCTTAAAGCTAAAAGCATTAAAAAAAAAATTTTAGCTACTGGAAATAAAGTAAAAAGTTAACCGAAATCACGGTTATTATAGTTAACTAAACTGAAAACAAAAAAACATTTACATATTTTGTTACATGAAATATAATAAAATTAAATATTATTTTATACTAAAATAGCACTGACTGTAAATAAACATTTATTTCAGATAATTGCCAAGTCAATATCAATATATTTAGTTTAACTTGATGTACTAATATTTAAATAAAAAATAAATAATGAAAACGGCCCTGAGGTTTTTAAAAGGTATTTGTTTACGGTATTAACACTTACTCTCTGATGCATCGGCCCAAACCACCAGCGGAACATAAAGAAAAACAAAATTCATTAGCATTAGAAGTCATTACAAACATAAACATCTTAAGTTATTTGAGTTATGTGAATAGATGAATATGGACAGATGAAATGTCACCTTGCTGTGAGGATCTGCAAACATCCTGGTGAAGATCTCACACAATCTCTTCAGCTCTACACGACTGAAACACAGAGACACGCTCACGGTTTACATTTATAATTCACTTTCCATATCAAAACTGAATCGATGATAATGGTACAGGGTTATGATAGTTACCTAAAACTGTTATGTATCCCTAATGGGACTTTTATTTTGCATTTACCCTGGTTCTGTTCCTGTTTCCTGTCTTGTCTGCCATTTTTGTAGTCCTTTGTAGTTTTTCTGTTATGTATTTTCCGTGTGTAACAGAAAAACTACAAAGGACTACAAAAATGGCAGACAAGACAGGAAACATGAACAGAACCAGGGTAATTGCAAATTAAAAGTCCCATTAACAAAACACAAAAATCCAGGGAGTACGTAACAAAAAATAAGACCATAAAACAGTTTGATACTTAATAAAAATCCATTACTTTATAAAACAAACTTTACCTTAAAACAAAAATGTAATATAATAAATTAAACATTTTATTTCAGCTAGTTGCCAAGGCAAGATTTCTCACTTTCTTTTAGTTTCACATACCAAAATAACTAAAAAAATAAAACCATAAAAAATTGTTAATTAATAAATTCATTACTTTATAAAATTAACGTTACCTGGAATAAAATAAAAAAACTGAACATAATTTATCTCAGTTTCAAAGGTAACGTTTCTCATTTAGTTTAACATGATAAATAACTAAAAGCAAAACTGAAATGAAAAAAAAAAAATATTAAAAACTATTTAAAAAAAGAAAAACTAATAAAAATTGGCTTTGGATAAAAGCGTTTGCTAAATGCATATGTATGTAAATTAAGAAAGTGCACTGCTAATTTTATTTTTAATTAAAGAAATGGTTACACAATGTTCCGCTTTAGAAATCCAACTAACTATAAGTAACTCTGCAACTACATGTCAACTTATTCTACTAAACTGAACCCTAACAGTCTACTAATACTCTAACGAAAGTTACTTATAATGTCTAAAGTGGACCATCAAAATAAAGTGTAATTACAGGGTTTGTGCAGACACTGTCAATTAAATTCTAGGACTTTGAAGGACTTTTCATTCAAGCTCTACTTTTTTGTTTTTTTCAAGGACTACAATGAGAGATCTCGCTTATCAAACAATATCTTTATCATCTTTTAAATCCTAAAAAAGGTAAGTAGATTAGATTAATAAAACAAAATGGTACAAATAAAGTGCAGCAGATGCAGTGACTGCGGTAGCTTTAACCATTGAAAGGATACTATGACAAAGATATCGCTTCCCTCTTTCAAACTGATTTCCCCCCATTAATATATGATTGACCTCAAGAACGAAAGCTGTATCATATTCTTGGATATTTATATGAGCAATATCAGGCTCATAGCCATGCGAAATTGCTCTATATCTGTATCAGACGGGCCACAGCGTTAATTTTGCGTGAAAAGATTTGTTATCGATTAAATTGAACACTACTTTCACATTTATTGGTCTCATTCATGAAACACAAGCAGAACTCATTTTTGTGTAAATCGTGTGTAAAGTGGTTCTGGCGTAAATTTTTGGATTCATTAAAATGTTTGTATTTTCCAAATGTTAGTTGGTACGAAAGAAATCTACACCTGCTCACAGCCACGCGTAAATAGTGAGTTTAACATCCAAACGTTTTGCTCATTAATAACTAAGGCTGCATTTTAATTCGCCTTAATCGGGTACATATTTACACAGCATTTTGAAAAAATATTATATATAGTAATTACATACGGTTTTTCTTTTTACTTCTGGGACTGTTTGACTAACAGATGAAACTCCAGTAACTGCATCTGTAATCTTTCTTTAGGACCTGATACGCCACTATGTAGCCTACGCTTGAAAATAAAATGTGGTGTTTTGAATGAACTTCTGATAATAAAACTTCCGATTTCTGCATCTGAGAAATTGTTCTTTTTCATACGCTTTTGAGAAAACATGTTGAAATCCTTCGTTTGGTGTCATAATATGATGCCCATATATAGTTGTCAGTCGGATTTAATGGGCGGGATTTATGGTAATTGAGAATGAGCGTGCACGCGCGTCCCATTTACGACTGATTGGAATTCATTAACACACACACACACATTTCACTATCACATCTGGCGTTTACGAAGTATTTGTGAATCAGGAGATGAGTTTTCGGGAAGGTCTCTTTACGCGCAAATCACTCTCATATTTACGAATGTTTCATGAATGAGACCCAATGTCTTTCAATAATTCAAGCACTTTTCAAGGACCTTTTCATAAATATGGCTGTTTTCAAAGGGTTTTTTCAGGACTTTTAGGAAAAAAAGGAAATTTTAGGAACAGGAAATCAAATTCAATGAGTTAATTTCTTCATAGTCATCATCAGTAGCCGGTCTCACGTGTACCTGAGGACTCTCTGGCTCTTCAGCAGGTTCTGGAGTCCCAGGAGCCCCTCTTTCCTCTCGGACCAGTTAGCGCTGGCGCAGTGGTTCAGGATCTCGGCCACGTCCTCCGTCTGACGCAGGTAATGCGGCATCGCACCGTTACGAGAGCTGTAGGAGCGTTCGGAGCACGCGCTGGACGCGTCGCTGTTCGCGTCGTCATCGGAGTACATGCCGGGAGATTCGAAGCGTCGTCGCATGGGTCTCTGCTACAGGACAGAGAGATACGCAACACGCTTTCAGATTATGACGCCATGCTAAAGGAACTAACACTGATTTAACAGAAAAGAGACATGCAAAGATTGATGCTCATGGATGTGTTTAAACAATTACATGCATGTGTGTGTACAGTAAGTGGCCAAAATCATCTCAAAATCAGAAGAAATAACTAAAAATGTACTCTATCATTCCCAAGTTTGGGGTCAGTTAAGAAAATAATCCTTTAATTCAAATAAATGCTGTTCTTTTGAACTTTCTATTCAATTATCTAGTTTCCACAAAAATATTAAGCTGTTTTCAACACTGATAGTAGTAATGATAAGAGTAATGATGCTGAAAATGCAGATTTTGATCAATTTGGAATAAGTTACATTTGACTATATTCACATAGAAAACCTCTATTTTAAATTGTAATAATATTTCACTGTTTTTACTGTATTTTCGCAGCATTGAATAAAGAGAGACTTTCCTGCAAAATCTTAAAAATTCTTATTGACCTCAAACTTTTGAATTGTAGTGTAAATATTTTGCGTAGAGAAAATGAATCCTAGTTTTAATGATCATTAAAATAGTTTTTCATTGTGACATTATTTTAATGACAATTAAGACCATCTATGCTAAAATTCTCATGTGTGTATCTTTACTATATTTGTATGAAAAAATAGATATTATTGAATTATTGAAAACCACTTTACAACAAGGTTTTATTAGTTAACATAAGTTAACTACATTAGTTAAATGAACAATGTTTCTAAAGCTTTTATCAATCAAAGTAAATGTGAATTACATAATTTACTAATACATTATTAAAATCAAAAGTTGTATCAGTTAATATTATTTAATAGACCTGAACTAACAATGAACAGGTGTAACCTTAAAGATGAATAAATACTGTAACAAAATATATTGATCATTGTTAGTTAAAGTTGATTTAAGCATTGAACTAATTATGAAGTGTGTTACTGAAACCACAGATCACATGCAATAATGATGATGTTGAATATTTTGACAGGGAATATAGACACATATCAGGTGTCAATAATTCAATTACCTTATTCCTGGAGTCTCCTAAAAGCTGAAGAGGTTCCAGACAAACGCAGAGGGAAAGTAAAGGCAGAAACATCAGGAATATGATAACAGATGTTAATGAGACGCTGAGCGCTGATGCAGAGACGTGATTCTCACCAGAGCATCTGCCACAGCCGCCTCCACATCAGTGCCCGTGTTCAAGATCCGCATGGCGTTCACAGACGCTGAGATACGGGCCTGATGGATGAGCCCGTAACGATCTGAGAGAGAGAGAGGGAGACAGAGAGAGAGAGGGAGGGAGACAGAGAGAGAGAGAGAGAGGGAGACAGAGAGAGAGAGAGAGAGAGAGAGAGAGAGAGAGAGAGAGAGAGAGAGAGAGAGAGAGAGAGAGAGAGAGAGAGAGAGAGAGAGAGAGAGGTCAGTAATGCCTCATGCTCTCAGAGCAGTTTGAGGAGCACATGCACATAAAAAGCACCATATATATAAGAAAGAAAGAAAAAAAAACATGCAGCATCTGTGTGAAATGTTTTTGATCAGGACAAAATAAAACACTCAAAATCATGACATGCTCCTTGTTCATTAGCATCACAGCACACAACTCTACAAACGCTAACTATAAAATAAATTATTACCACCAAAAAAAAAACAATACAAACAGAATTTGCATGTACAAAATTATAAGGTAACACTTTGTTGGTTACACTTTATTTTAAGGTGTCATTGTTACAGAGTAATTAATTATGTATTTAAGTACTGAGTAATAATAATTTACTACATGTACTTACTATAGGATTAGGGTTTGGTTGAGGGTTAGTTAAATGTAATTATGCATAATATTAAATATGCATAGTTATTACTATGGTAAGCGCCTGTAACATATGTAACAAGGACACTGTAAAATAAAGTGTTACCCCCTTTGTTTTACAGTGTCATTGTTACATGATGTAGTTACTATAGATTATGCATAATACTATGCAACCCTAAACCAAACCCTAACCCCATAGTAAGTACATTGAGTTACTTAATATTAGTCAGTACTTAAATGCATAATATTACACTGTAACACAGACACTTTAAAATAAAGTGTAACCAAATACAATTACTGAAAAATGAACAGTCAAAAACAACAACAGTTAAACTTTCCAAATTAAACACAGAAATATGTAATGACATCCAACAGTCTCCAATCTAATTAAAACCTGGAAATAAAAAAAGTTTTAATATTTTTTAAATTAAATAAATAAATAATAGTGAAATGAGTCAGAAATCTCGGTAACTTTTACAACAAGGCCCCATTCTTTAACTATAGTTGGTGCATTAACTTACAAAAAGCAATACATTTGTTACAGTATTTATTAAAATCTGTTAACGTTAGTTAATAAAAATACTACTGTTCATTGTTAGTTCATTTTAGCTCAGGTCCATTAAATAATAATAAGTTAAAATGAACTTGAATTATTTTAATTGCTAGTTCATGTAACTAATGTTAACAAATGCAACCTCATTGTAAAAGTTAACCGAAATCTCTTTATAATTAATTCTAAAGTTCACGTTCATGTTTTTTAACATTTAACAAAAGTTATATTTTTTTTACTAGTGCTCTCAGACTTTTACATTCCACTGTATATTACAATTATATACAGACAGATTAGACATAAAAAAAGAACAGAATACAAATCTCACAATCTCCAAATATCTGCTGATTAATTGGCCTGGCACTAATTTCAAAATAAAACACATTTCAAAATAAAATATAAAATAAAATAAAACAAAAAGTTACAATGAGGCAATATAAGTCCAGTTCACATCCAGGAAAACTGAGCCGGTTTGAGTCAGTAAATGTAAAGCTGTGCTCGTGGTCTCTAGCGCCACCCTGTGGATGAGCTCAAACACACAGGCCTCTACATGCACTGACTCATTCTGCTGAAACACACACACAACCTGGATGTGACTGACATACACACTTCTAAACAGGTTCAGCACGAGCCCTGTTAAATACAGCAATGATCTAGGTTCTGGTGCCGTGACCCGGACCACATGCAAGTCACCTGTCAGCAGGACGTCACCCGCCGTCAGCGCGCTGGTGGAGCGAGAGTGTCTGTGGGATGCTGGGAAGGATCAGGAAGCAGGTGACACACATTTCAGAAACAACACTTTAAATTAAAGGTGACCACATCACCTGAAAACAAGCACTTTATTCTTTTGGTTAACCAACACACGTGGCTGAATATATTAAAGGGGTCATCGGATGCAAAATTCACTTTTATATGGTGTTTGATTATAAATGTGTCGTTGCAGTGTGTGGACACAACACCATACAATGAAAAAAATCCACTCACTCTTTTTTTTTATCCTCAAAAAGCCTAAAGGGGATATTCAAATTAAATGACCCATCATACCACTGATCAGCTCTACCAAACTTGGATGTCTTTTTCCAGTAATAAACAAAAACTGTTAAGTTGTTTTGATTGATACTGTGAAGCAGCTTTGATACAATCTGTATTGTGAAAAGCGCTATATAAATATATTTGACTTGACTTGACTTTAAAGACTCAATAATCAAGCCGTTTAGATTTTCTGAGCAATATGATGTCATGTTGCTCATGCTCCGCCCACGACCGCTGACGGACTGTCCCGTATTAGCATATTTCCTGTATTGCTCATTATCATTTAAAGAGACATACACCGAAACGGGTCGCTGTGAACAGAGCTGTTTTAGAGGAGGTAAAAAGGGTGTTGTTTTACACGACCATTGAGGAACTTTAACCAAAGTATTAGGGGTGTAGCGATACACGTATTCGTATTGAACCGTTCGGTACGAGGCTT